GATCCAAAGAATGCTCATATCCTTGGAAGAGGGCCGACTCTTTGTTAAATAGTGTAAGGGGTTTATATTTTCGATCCAAAAGATCCGTGATCAGCCATTATCTGTCAGTTGACAGGCAAAACCTCACGAGTAATATTGATGCCGAAAAAAATGAATTCGTCCCATTCAATTTTTCATATATAGTGAAAAATTTAATGACATTAAAGGAATCAAGATAATGGAGAAACGTATTGCAATGTACATGACAAACGGAGAAAGCAGTATATCACCTTGGTCACCATAACGAGCCCGAACCAACGCAATATATTTTAAAGAACGCGATGCCCCAACATAAAATGTTATAATAAATGCTCACCAAGTCCGTAATAACTTGGAGTTTTATAGGCACTTGAAACTGCGGATAATATAACGCTGTTGGCTGCTTGACACTGAGAAGGGTGATCCACGGCGGACAGGGATACAGCGATATTACCACAGTTATCAGGGAGTGGTGTACGCGTGCGAGTTGAAGATGCTGAGATAGTTGGAGCAGACCCAGGGACAGAAGACGAGGAGGATGAAGATAAGGAAGAGGAAGATGATGATGTTGAAGAGCCACTTGGCATTTTCCTGAGTGCCAAAGCCAAATTGCTGCTAGCGGCAACAGCCGCTGTGGAAGACAGCACAGTAAGCTCTAAGGGAGCAGCGGTGGTCACTGCCGAGACAGAACAATGTAGACGAGAATAACCCGAGCTGAGTCGAGTATCGGTGTCACCATGTGTGGGCTGACAGGGAATAGAGGCATTAATTCCAGACGAGGGTGAGCAGGGTCCCATCTTAGCAATAGAGCCAGGAATAGAGACGTTGTTTCCGGGACTTGTTTTTACTCGTTCAAGTGCGGACAAGTGTACCGCTGGCATTAGATCGAGATGAGATCGTGAATCATAACTCTGAAGTAGACAAAGTAATTAACATTTAGGCATGTACCAATGCAATAAAAACTTTTAGTCACATCTTTCATGATATATCCGTAAAAGACACCCTATTATTTAGCATGTTATTAGTAAAAACAAGCAAATAATCTAAGTATTATGTACAAAAATATGACGAAAAAAAATGAGCCAACGAAATAAAATTGTAGACAAAAATGCTAGAATTTCATTTGTATGCAAATCTCGGGCCACCAAATAACAGAAAGCAAATGG